AAGGCCAGCGAGGTGTAGACTTGCGGGTCAGACGCCGCGGTTTGCTCCTCAGCTCCCCGCTCTGTAAGGTGAATGGTGGCCACCAAGGTCCTTTCTGGCTCTGACAGTCTGCACTTTTAGGACTTTAATTCCTGAGTGGCGGTTGGCTAAGCAGAAGACACTGGCGAGAGACGGGCTTATTATGGAGACGGCTGGTGTGAGCACCAGCCTGGAGGTCTGAAGGTCATGCCTTTAGATCCTCTTCGTCACACGAAGTAGCTGGTGACTTTGGGCGGTCACCTAGCTTCTCTGGGACTTCTTACATGTGAATACTAAGGAAGGATAGGGTTAGAGATTTGTGGAAGCTCCTGTGGCTTGCTCTCAGTTCTGGTTGTTGGACGCGGATCGTTAATGATTGCTAGGTAGAGAACTCTGACCCCGGGGTCACTTTGTGGCTTCAGAGCCAAGCTCCGCCACACACCAGCTGTGATCTCTACTCAACCCCTCTGCACCTTGGTTTCCTTTCCTCTTAAGTGGGGCTCTTGCTCTCCACGCTTCAGAGGGCTCTCGTGAGCATTCACTATGAGCGAGAGAACTTGTTACACTCGGAAGGAAGTGCTGGGTATCAGTTACTGCTGACGTTGTGGATCAGCGGAGGCTGGCCTTCAGGGCGGCCTGCCGAGGGGCCTGGCTCTGTGCAGCCTGGCTCCAGCGGGTGACCCTGAGTTCTCCCCTGAGGCTGGGCATGGGCATTTCTGGGAGCAGAGGGTCCTTGGCACAGATTTGGGGTGGGCTGTTCATTTATACAGAAATCTTGGCAGTCCGTGGGCAAATAGGCCACAGCTCAGTGGAGAAGGAGGCCTGCAGGCAGGGTAGAAGGGCAGCGGAGGCCACAGGCCCCAGCCCCCTAGGCCTTCCTTCCTTTTTGGGGGGTTCGGGTGGGAGAGAGAAGGAGAATGACAAACTGTTAAAAAATACACGTATAGAAAATAGTAAAAGGCTTTCTTATGTATAGCTGGATTCTGGGAAATTCATACTTTGTTCTATGTATTTTCCAAGTTTTCTATAATGAACATGTATTTCCTGAATCAGGAAAATAAAAAAATTTTTTTTTCTTTAAAAATTGGAAGAGATCCATTTTTACAAATGTGGGTTCATCTTTTTTCTGCTTAACTTTTAATTCTCATTTGATTAAAGACATAATAAAAAGTTTTTGAAATTAGGATATGTGTTATCTTCCAGATCTGGGTTAGATTTCTGTGCTTTCTACCTATTTGTGTTCATAGTTCGAAGGGGCTGGAATGTGGAAATTGTCTATTTAAATTCTTTAGCTATATTAGAAAAAAAAACAGTTGGAGTTTTATCTGGTTTGTAAAGCGTTTAAGCACATTGGGGTACTAACAAGTCAGCGTGCCCCCCGACTCTGTTTTATCACCTCTATTTCATTTAAAAACCGTTTAAAAAATAGGTTCTAATCATTGACCTGTAAGTCCTACTTCCAGGAATTCACCCAGGGGCAACAACTGGACAAGCACATGAAGACAGAGGAAAGTTCTTCACAGAATTATTTCATATAAAAGAAAACATGTGAGCCAACTTACACATAAAAACAGAGGATTGCCTTATGAGTCATGCAGTCGTTACTGGGGACATAGATGTGTATTTGATATGCAGACCTGCTCATGCCCCCCAAGTTAAAAAGTCTGTTAACAAAGCTGTCTGTGTGTCTATCAGTCATGCACACACGCGTACACACACACACACACACACACACACACACACACACAGACCCCATTTTCTGTTCATGGAGAGGATGCATGTGTCCTCATCCATAGTTGTTAACTGGAGATAGTGAGATTATGGCCTTCCCTGCTGACTTATTTCCTCCTGTTTCTACAGCAGATATGTATTACTTGTCAACTTATTAAAGTTGAAATAACTTTTTGTAGTTGAAGATAGTTTTGTTAACTAACTTGGAGGGATAGACCCAGGTTGTGTGACCAAGCATTTATTAAATGACAAAATGAATGTCATTTGCTATAGAAAAAGGCTTTCTTAGGTTCATTCTTGGACATATACTAGAAAACTTTTTTTAGTCCATGAGGATATTGATTACAAATACTTATTAAATTTTGTCATTATTAAATATTGTTATTTTTACTAGCATGTGAACCAGCAGAGATCCCTTGATTCTGCAACACCTCAGGGTCTTTTTCACGGAACTAGAGCTAGCATCCTTAGCGAGTGTGCTGTGAGGCTGCACGGAGGCCCTGTGCAGTGTGGGGAGCAGTGTGGATGCGTGAGTTGTGTACATACCAGCTACTGTTAATTATTCACTGACCAGCGAGGGTAGGACCCAGGGAGTGCTCAGACGGCTGCTGGTTCCCGCTCGGTAAGGGGCGCACCAAATAAGATTGCGAAAAGGAGCCTGCGGGAGATGAGCGGACAGAAGACAGCAGTCAACACGCCGCTGTGGGAGGGTGACGTCCAGCAGGGAAAGGCATCTCGTGAGCCACCGGTGGTCATGGCCAGCGCGTTCACTGAGGGTGATGAAGGAGTTGTCTCCTCCATGTGGACGGGATCCCAACTGGCCTTGACGGTGGGGAGGCTGCGGTAGAACAAAGGGCAGGGACCAGCAGCGACGAGGGAGACAATGGACATGGGCAGAGCTGGGTAGCCCCCGGCGAGTGAGCAGTGCGGCCAGCCCACGTGAGTGAGGGCGTGTGCCAGGCAGCCCCGGCCCCGGTCGCGGGGGCCGTTAATGGCCAGATGGAGCTGGACAGAGCTGGATGGAGGGATAGCGGACATAGGGCTCCAACTGCAAGACCCTTCTCCCAGCGGGTGGCGCAGAGCTGTCCACTTCAGCAGCTGAGTTGGCCGACTGGCCTGGGTTGGTGCCTGCCCATTCCTCCTCACAGCGAGAGCCTGTGGCCCATCTGCGTACGTACGTGGAGAGAAATGGCCCTTTTTGGGACCATTTTAATCATTTTGTGAGTGTACAATTCAGTGGCATCAATTACTTGATGTTGTGCAACTGTCACCACTATTTCAAAATTTTTTTGCCACCCAAACACAAACTTTGTGCCCACTGAGCAATAACTCCCGACTCCGCCCTCCCCACAGCGCCCAGTGACCACTGACTTCCTTTCTGTCTGTGTGTCTGCCTGCTCTGGCTGCCTCGCGTAAATGGGATCACCCAGTATCTGTCCTCGCGTGTCTGTCTAACTTCCCTTAGCTTGACGTTTTGAAAGTGCACGCGTGTCGTAGAGGGTATCAGAACCTCGTTACTTTTTATGGCTGAATGCTAAGCCGTTGCATGGCTACACTGCTGATTTGGGGTGACAGAGGACCGCAGATGTGGCTTATGGTCAGAGCAGCAGGTGAAACAGAGGAAGAAATGCAAGGGGAAGAATGTTTTCATAGGAAATCTCAGGAAACGTCCAGGAAGTCCCCTTGGAGTTAGTTCACCTAAGCTTGGAGTTCTGACCAAGTCGCAGTGGGCCTTCTCCTGGAGGCCCAGAGCTTTTCCTGTACAGCAAAGGCCGAGGCTGGCGTGAGTGACTGGTGCAGGAGCGGTGACGGTTTCGCTCTGTTTAATGAAAACACCCGTAAAAGCTAAGTTCAGAGGGCTGAGTTTACCCGATTTCAACTGTCAGAGTAAAGAAGCCACGTTTTGTTAGTTGTCACTATTGCTTGTATGTTTCTTCTGATGTAATTTACCAGAGAATTTATTCTCTATCAGTGTGGAGCCACTGGGAGCCATGGGAAGAGATGAGATTTAGATTTCTAAACGAGTATTCATGTTTATCCGGATTACAGTGGGTGGGAGAGAGATGCCGTGGTCAACACCGAGCTCTCAAGGGTGTAGAAGTTCTCGTCCTCGTCTGCTCACATGACAGGATGTCTGTAACTCAGCTCAGTGTCTTCGTGCCCTCTTGGCATTTCAATGAACTCTTCTCTTTATAATGCTATCATTCTTGGCTCATTCAAACTCTAGAGGAACCCAATTAGAAATTATTTACTATCACTCCAAATTGTCTAAAGATATCTAGGCTCTATGGGATATAGGAAATGGCCTGAGAAAGAAGGACTAGTCTCACGTCCAGTTGTGGTTTCAGGAGGGTCTCTGTCGGGTCATGCATGCGGCTTGGGGGAAGGCTCTGTTTTATCGAGGCGAGAGCCTGGGAGAGGGGGAGGGAAAAATGAAGAAAAGAATGCCCACGCTTGCTGAGTCAGCATTCTGTGTGTGCTGGCCGACTGGGTCCTCGCGATGGCCCGAAATGGAAACGTTTCTGTTACGTGTGAGGCCCTGAGGCCAGAGGACCATGCACTTGATCTCGAGGCTGGATTTACTACGTGCACAGCAATCTCGTCGCACCAAGGATGTTAGCGGACAAACATGCCAATGTCCGCTTTTCACAGTGCGTCCAGACTCCCGCCGAGGTATGATGATATATTTCAGGGTATTCCAGCGTTCTTTCCCCGCACTTTTTAAGGACATGACAGAGGAGGGCTCCGAGGGAGGCTTCCTGCCGTCGGAGGTAGTACTGCCAACGTTCTCCGCCCCGCCCTTGGCCTTTGTCTTCCTCCCTTCATTAGTGCCACCTGACGCATACTGACTCATTTATTATCATTTCTTTTACCAGAAGGTAAGCTTCGTGAGATCAGGAGCCATGTTCTTTTCAGCCCCTAAAAGAAGGTCTGGCATAGTCGGCCTAAGTCACTAAATAGTTGATGAATTTGTTAATGCTAGAAGCTTCCTCAGATTCGGCAGCTCACATGTCAGCATGGGTCTTGAGTAAAGAAGAAAAACCAAAAAGGAGGTTATTCATGTTAAAAAAAAAAAATATATCCTATATGGGCTGTGGAGAATAGACAAGGGAAAGAAAGGAAGAAAGTCACTCGCTCCAAAGTTGTCTTCAGTTCAGTGCTCAAGGATCCCAGTCCCATGTTTTACGCGTGAAAACGTTTGATGTCCATCTCCTCCACCCAGTAGTTAACACTAAAAAGGGATTTGAAAATCAGGATCAAAGATGCAGCTGCTTTCCCATGCAAGCAGCAGTTGAAAAAGAGCCCAAAGTGATAGTATGGCCTCTGTTCTGTTGTCTGTGCCCGATCTGTGACTTTTTGGGAAGACACAGGTAAAACGAACTTCATGCTGAGGCGGGTGTGCTGCTGGCCCCTTCTCGTGTCCTGAGCAGACTCGGGAACCCGTCCTGTCGTACGTCCTGTGGAAGGATGCTGTTCGCGTGCAAGGTGCCACGCGAACCTCTGCTACGCGAAGTGTGCCCACGGGGGCCACTGGAGTCCCATTTCAGATCTGACAAGCAGGCCCACTTGAAAGGCGGGAGCGGTCAGAGCAAGAGGGAGCAGTAGGACAGCTGGGAACTCTGCACTGGGGCGCCATCGGCCACTGCAGCTTGGTGGTGTCCACAGGCTGATGGTGGCTGAGGGCCGTCTCTCCAAGAGCAGGGCTCAGCCTTGCTGTGGTGGTTGGGGGCACCAAGAGATCAAGCCACAGCAAAGCCCCAGGGGAGACCATCCTGAGTCCTTTCTAGCACAACTCTCCCCGTTCCCCTCAGGCTGTGGGGTCTGGAACCTTCCCTGCCTCAAGGGGAATTCTAGTACCACCCAGAGGTCGTGCTGGGGTCCAACAAGAATCCGCTCTCACAACCTCCTTTGGGGCGTAAATCCGAGGTTTGGGTAAAATTCTCAGTGTAGAAGGACGAGTAAATAGAAATTCTCTTCACACAGTTTGGGGCCTTATGAAAAGCATCTGCGTAACTAAAGCGGCAGAGCCTACCATTCCAGAACCTTCTTACGCCCACCAAACATGGGTATCCCCATGTGCCCGACATGCTTCTAGATGCTTTGAATGGACCAGTGAGCAAAAACCCCTGCCGTCATGGGACATACTTCTACCAGAGAGAGAAACAAAGCAGGACTCCGTAGCTATCACCAAAACGTGTTCATGACAGGGACAATTGAGAACAACCTAGACATCAGTGGAGAAAGGAGTAAATGTTTGTTTGTTATATAGCACTCAAGCATAGTGGTTTATTTCACAGCTGTAGAGCCAGAAGGCTGGGTTGTAAGCCAGCTGTACCCTCACGGGAACCCCACCTTGCTTTTCTGAGATGTAACTGACATATAACGCTGTGCAAGTGTAAGGTGTACAGTGTGTTGATTTGATACACTTATATACTGCAAAATGTTTTCCAGCGTAGCTTAGCTAGTACCTCCATTGGGTCACATAATTACCATTTGTTTTTGTGGTGAGAGCGTTTGTGGTCTATTCTCACAACAACTTTCAAGCACATAGCAGGGCATCAACTATAAACGCAGTGCTGGTGCTGTGCGTTAGGTCTCTTAGGTCTCCTGAACGGACTCATCTTAGAGCTGGAAGTCTATGCCCTCTGGCCAGCATCTCCCAGCAGCACCTCCCCCCGCGCCGCCCCCTCCTCCTGCCCGACTCCTGGAAGCCACCACTCTAATTCTGTTTTTCTCAGTTCCCTTTTTAAGATTCCACATATAAGTGAGAGATACCAAAGTTGCCTTTCTCTGATTTCTTTCACTTAGCATAATGCCCTCAAGGTTTATCCGTGTTGTTGCAAATGGCAAGATTTCCTTCTTTCTCATGGCCGAATAATATTTTATTATATATTTACCATATTTATGCATTCATCCATTGATGGGCACTTAGGTTCTTTCCATATCTGGCTACTGTGAATAACGCTGCAGTGAACATGGAGGTGCAGCTATCTCTTCAAGATCCTGTTTTCACTTCCTTTGGGTGTATATCCAGAAGTGGGATGGCTGAATCATATGATAATTCTATTTTTAAGTTTTTGAGAAACCTCCATCCTGTTTTCCATAAGAGGCTGCCCCAGGCTGCAGTCCTACCAGCAGTGCACAGGGCTGCCTTTTCTCTACATCCTCATCAACACTTCTGTCTCTTGCTTTTCGATGACAGCCCTTCTAACAGGTGTCTGGTGATACCTCGTGTGGGTGTGATTCGCCTCTCCCTGATGATTAGTGAGGGTGAGCACGTTTTCCTGTGCCTGTTTGGCCATTCGAATGTCTTCTTTGGGAAAATATCCAGTTCCTCTGCCCATTTTTTAATCAGATTGTTTTTTGTTGTTGTTGTTGTTGAGTTGTATGAGTTCTTTATATATTTTGGATATTAACTCCTTATCAGATATTTGATTTGAAAATATTTTCTCTCATTTGGTAGGTTGCCTTTTCATTTCATTGATTGTTTCTTTTGCTGTCTAGAAGGTTTTTAGTTTGACGTAGTCCCACTTATTAATTTTTGCTTTTGTTACCTGTGCTTTTGGTATCATCCGAAAAACTGTTGCCAAGACCACAGCCAGGGAGCTTTTCTCTTCCTTCTAAGAGTTTTATGGTTTCAGGTCTTACATTTAAGTCTTTAATCTATTTAGAGTTAATTTTTGTGAGTGGTGGTCCATTTTCATTCTGCATGTGGTATCCAGTTTTTCTAACACCATTTATTAAAGAAATTTTCCTTTCTCCATTGAGTATTCTTGGTTTGCTTGTCAAATATTAGTCAAATGTACACGTAAGCTTCACTTCTGGGCTCTCAATTCTATTCCATGGTCTATGTGTCTGGTTTTATGCCAGCACCATACTGTTTCGATTGCTATAGCTCTGTATTATAGTTCGATAACAAGAAGTGTGATACGTCCAGCTTTGTTCTTTCTCAGGATTGTTTTGTTTATTCAAGGTCTTTTGTAGTTTCATATAAATTTTAGGACTGTACTATTTCTGTGAAAAATGCCATTGGAATTTTGATAGAGATTGCACTGAATCTGTACATGGTTTAGGGCAGTATGGACATTTTAATAATATTATCTTCCAAGCCACGAGCATGAAATAACTGCCATTTGTTTGTGTCATCCGTTTCTTTCATCAAAGTCTTGTAGTCTTCAATGTACAGGTCCTTCATCTCCTTGGTTAAATTTATTCCTAAGTATTTTATTGTTTTTGATATTATTGTGGATGGGATTATTTTATTTATTATTCAGATGTTGTATTGTTGGTATATAGAAATGAACCTGATTTCTGTAAGCTGATTTCGTGTCCACTCCCTGATTTTAATTTCTCATTTGTAATATGGGGGTTACAGGACTTAGCTCACAGGTCATTTTTAGCATTATATGAAAAATGAAAAGCCTTTAGAATAGTGCTTAGAACACAATCTGTGCTTAATAATGGTAGCTGTGTTTATTATTATGCTGGTAACGGAGCACAACAAAGCAGTTAAAAAGCAATGGACTAAGTCCATATATCAACATAAATGATATAAATATACAATTGTCCGTGACTTATTTATTCAGCAACATTTACTGAGTGCCTACTGTGTTCCAGGCAGCATTATATAGGTACCTGGGAATCCTTAGTGAACAAAGAGCCCGCCTCTTTGGACCTTACATCCCAGATTTAGTATGGAATAAAAAGTATTTAGCATGTAAGGAGATTATGTGCTCTTTTAGGAGGGGATAAGTGCTGTGGGGAAGGAAAAAGGAAGTCTGGAGGTTTTTGGGATTGCCAGAGTTAAGCTGGGGAGTTGGTGGAATTTTAAGCCAACAAAACAAATACGAGAAAATGTTAACAATTAGCGGCTCCAGGTGGTGAGTATACAGGTGTGTGTTGGGTTATTTCTTTTGCCTTTCTACTATTTAATTTTTTTCTCGAAAATTCCTCTCTGTGATACAAGAGATAAAATGAAAAGATGATAATGAATCTGAAATGTGGCGTTGGGTTAGAAGCAGAAAAAATCTTAAAGGAGCTAAACGAGATCTATTTCTCGAAAAGACTCTAACCTAGACATGAAATTTTAAAGTCTGTTAGAGATAGACATGAGTAGAACCACGATGCAGAAAACCAAATCGTCACACAGAAGACCAGTATGACAGTAAATAGAATCAAACAAAACCAGAATGAATATACCCAAAGCAACACTTACAGATACAGTAGGACATATTTCTGCATTGAAGATCTAAACAAAAGTGATTAAAAACGAATCCAGTACTGAGACGTGGCCTGCTGGGACTGTTGCAGAAGCACTTACTTAAGGGACCCAATTCCTTAGTTCTCTTTTGTAGGTGTGGCAATGTGCCAACTGTAAAACCGTTTTCAAGGCTCCCTTGCCTCTTCCTGCTGTGTGGAATGTGGATGTGACAGCTGGAGCTGCAGTGGCACCCTGTGTCCACCAGGAGGCAACAAGTGGACGAGTGAAGGAATGGAAGGCAGGGTGCTGAGGGAGATAGACACACGTGAGAGAGAAGAAAAAAGAAAGATGGGAGACCCCTGGACCCCTGTTGGCCTGCGTCCATACGATACCAGCCTTGAATTCTACGTCCGGGTTCGTCACATGTGATTATATATGTACAGACGCACACACACACACATATGCGTACATACATATATATATATATATATCTCTCTACACGTATATAGATAATAAATATATACATATAACTATATATGTAAAATTTTAAACAGCCCTGTGGTCTGAGTTTTCTGTTAAATGCAGTTGAGCCCACTTTTAACTGAAACAAATCCGAACAATAAACATCTGTGGGAAAGGAAGATAATCCAGTCTCATCGGCCAAGCGGCTACTGTGGAAGGACACGTGACAGCCACGCGTGGGCCCCCGGGGCACGTGACCGCCACACGCGGGCCCTGAACCGATCTGGCTAAGGCCCGGCAGCGCCACATCCCAGCCGTGGACCCACAAACCAGTTATTTACTCTTGAAGCCTTAGTTTCTTCATCTAAAAACTAGAGAAAACATTTACTTTATAAAATTGTTGTAAAGGTTAAGGGCAGTTAATATACATCAAGCTCTTTGTTCAGTGCTTAGAGCTCTCGGGAAACAGAAAATTTATTGGAACAACCAACTGGAGTCTGCTCTGAGAAGGATTAAACACATCACGAAGGGGACATCCTTTTATTTGGTATTGTTCAGAAATAGCTCTACAGGCAAATAAAAATAAAAGTATAAAAGTATCAATTTTATAAAGGAAAGATTTGCAACTACTGAATATAATCAAAATGCTGGAAAAGAAGACAATGAAAAACTTATACATCAGGTTTAATGGAACAAAATAGAAAGTTTGAAAATAGTCCTAATTATTTGTCGTTTAGTATGGAATAAAAAGTATTTTAAAACAATGGGGAATTGAATTATTTCAGCATTGGTTTTGGGATTATCAGTTTCTCATGTGGGAAAAAAAAAAATCTACTTAGCTCCTAAGCCAATGCCACATGCCAAAATAAAATTTTAGAGGGACTGGGGAGTAAAATGTAATAGAACATAGATGAATATTCACATCACCGTGGGGTGGGAAAAGCTGTTGTAAATGTAACGTCAAATGCAGGAAGTAGAACAAAGATGGGTACATGTGACTAGAAAAATGTCTAAAAATTTAGACTTTTATGGTACAGTTGGTTATAAACAAAATTTAAAAGTAATTGATGTGCTTAATAAGAAACTTACGTATGCAATAAGAGAGAAGTCTCCCAAGAAGGTTTTAGTAACAGCCAGGTCTGGAGGCCTATTCTGAGGTCTGTTCTGGTGTTGCCTCTGTCCAGTCTCATGGGACAGTGGCCAGGGGGTCGTTCCACCCCAGGACTCAGGAGCTGAAACATGACTCATGTCAAGATGTTATCTTCACCTGCCAGAGGTGCCGACTGTGTGACCATCAGTCAGGTCCCGTCCACTGCCTTCTGCTCCCTCAGGGCCTGCCGAGTGTCCGGGACAGGCCGGGTCTCTGAGGAGCAGAGAGAGAGATGACTTCTAGGGTTAGGATTTAAAACTAAGTTTACTTGGCCATAAAGCCCCTCGGTTCAGTACCCATCTTTTCCCCCCAAACAATCCGAATAAGCACTTCAAGTGGAAACATCTTTGAAGTTATGTGGTGCAAGACTTAATACACTGTTTTTGTTTGTTTGTTTGTTTGTTTTTTGCTTTAAAGGGGGAACTCTACGGCCGTGTTTCTTTTTTCTATGATATTTTCATATTTAGAGCGAGTGACAGGTTTAGGAGGACATGGGGGGCGTTGGGTCTACCTCTTCCTTCTCCTGTTGTGTTTTTCACTGTCAAAATGTAAATATGTTGCCTAATGGGGTAGGTAGCACCGCACTTCAACCAGCGTGAGATTAGGGTCTGAGATGGGACCCAGGACAGGTGAGAACTGAAGGGCGAAGAGAGGGCCCTGGTGCTCGCGGGAAAGGCGGCGAGGATGGGGGGCCCGCGGGACGACTGTCGTCGTGCCCTCAGCTCAGCCCCCAGAGTAGCGTCCAGCCGGTCCCGGTGGGGCAGAGGCCCCGGGCAGTGCCAGCTCGTCGTCGTTTCGGGCGTTGGGCTTCGCAGCAGTCGCCTCTCTGCTCTCCCCTGCCTCCTAGCGGGGAGCGAGGCTTTGTGGCGATAACAAGCATCTCTGTGCGCAAACCGAACTTCAACAGCCCAGACGCGGGTGGCCCCGTGATCCCACATTGCCCCGCATTAGCAGAGGGAGATGGCGTCCCTCCCACGGGACAGCCTCGTGACACGTCTCTTCCCTCCTCACCTCCCAGACAGCTGCAGCATGACTTTCCCCGGGCCCTGATTTTCAGCACGGATGATTATTTCTTCAGAGAAGATGGTGCCTATGAGTTCAACCCTGACTTCCTGGAGGAAGCGCATGAATGGAACCAGGAAAGAGGTGACACAGCCCTTTCCGAGCTCGCGGGATGCCCCATTGTGTACATACGTGGTAGCAGAATGAGCAAGTCCTACCGGAGGAGTTTGATCAAAAGTTCTGCCATTCCCCACCCCCCCAAACAGATGTCAGAGCATAACCCGCTAGATGCCAGGAAAAAGAGAATGATGGGTAATGGGTCCTGGGCTAGGTGGCATTAGCGTTATGTAATGAGGACGTGCTGTGATAGAAATGACAAGCTCTGGGTGCGCTCACCCCCCGTCTGATTGTTGCGTGTCGTTCACTGTTGTGTAACGTTGTGTTGCAGCAAGGAGAGCAATGAGGACCGGCATCTCGCCCGTGATCATTGATAACACCAACCTGCACGCCTGGGAAATGAAGCCCTATGCCGTCATGGTAGGAAGAACCTCATTCTGAATTCGCGGTTACGGGCATTTGCGAGAAAGTTGAAACTTTTGTTCTTTGCTCTTTATCTGACCTTCCAGATCTCATGCTCATGACACATCTCACGAGGAGGAGGTGAAGAGGTGTCATTTTGTGACAACTCGCTGACACGCTACTGTCAGACAGCATACGGTTCTGAAATGGCCCTTGGTCAGGCTTTCGACAGTTTTCCTGTCCTGGGGTCTTCCCCGGGGAAGGCTCACGCGGGCGCTTCCGTGGGGGCCTGCGGAGAAACCAGACCAGCTGCCGCTACAGCAGAGCTGTCCACCCGGTCACAGGACACTTCTGTGCTCGGCCGGGAGCTCGGTGCTGTGCAGCATTGCTGCACGGGTCCCAGGGCACGAGCTCTCAGTCTGAACACAGATGTAGGGTTAGCGCCGTTAGCCCGTTACTTGCCAGGACTGAAGCACCAGAGCCCATGGAAAGGGAACGACACGGCCGTGTGCCCGAGATGGACACGGCAGGGTGCACACTTTAATTTTGAAATATGCCTGATCTTTTTTCAGACATATTCCATCTTTTCTGCTACTGAGTTATCAGTCTCTATTGGGTGTAGGAAGGAGAAAAGATGGAGACACATACAAGGACAGGAAGAAGACAGCTGGGGGTCCCGCGGTTGTCACGCCTGAGCCCCAGCTGGCTGGCTGGCCGGCCAGTGGCCCCCTCCCGAACTGGGCCCGTGGCAGTCTGGTCTCAGGCCGTTACACGTTTTGGGCAGAACTGCTTACATACAGGGGTGGGTGTGCTTTCCTCTACATGCTCATCAGTTTCACTTAGGCTCAGGTGGTGGGACTTTGGAGGGAGGAGTGTCCACCGGGTGGCTGGTCCACTCAGGAGAGAAGTGAACAGGGAAATGAAGAGTCAGTGAAGGCCGGGAGAGGCTGAAGGGAAGTCACGTTACTTCGTGCTTCCCAGATACGTACAATCTTCTCCAGCCACCACAGCTGCTAGTCAGACCCAGAAATGGGACCTTTCCCACGTGGGACGTTTGAATCCTTCCCCGATGACAAGGCCATCTAAACGACGAAGAGGGAATCTTGTCACTGAGCCCTTTTCGTTGACCTTTCAGCACCAAATGCTGGGTTTGAGAGAGTAGCCTCGCAGTGGGTTTGGGGACGCATGGGGTATCTGGGCGTTTGGGGGAACCTGCCGCCGTGTTCTGCCCTCGAGGGGCCAGGGCCCAGTGCAGGGAGCCGTGCTGCTCTGCGTGGCAGGGGGACTACTCGCGGAGGGAAGAGTGTGTAAAGTGCGCGTGGGGATCCCTTTCATTTCATAAGCTCTGTTCCTATGGCACTGTCACCCTCTAAACCAAGGACAAGGCGTTTGACGGACGTAAAAATATGGTAATCACACAAACGGCTTTGAGACGCCGCTGAGTTCTTGGTCATTCTGTGCACAGGGCATTTGAAGCTAGTTCAGGTGTCTATTTAAAAAATGTCCAGAACAAAGAACATTTATAATTTTACTACATACTAAGTAAAGTGGACCGGAATTTGTCACTGGGAGCCATACTGTGATCTGAGGGTGACCTAGTATTATGGAGACGAACCGGCTGTGTTAAGATGAACCCAGGCATTGGATTCCTGCTAACACAAAGGGAATTTTAGAAAAGATTTGTAGTGAATGTTAAGTGGCAGCATGAACGTCCCCAAACATGCATACCATGTCTTCAATGTTTTATGTACTTTTGAAAAATCAGGCACTTGAAAATAACTATGAAGTTATATTCCGAGAACCTGAGACTCGCTGGAAATTCAACGTGCAAGAGTTAGCAAGGTACTTCTTTGTTTTTCTAGCTCCTCATTATGTGTCCTGCTATTTTCAGGTGTTTCAGACCGAACAAAAGAATCTTTTCAGGCTGGAAATGGACATGGTAGTTTTCAGGCCAGAAATGGTAATTCTTGGAAATTGATAACTTTGGAATTATTAATGTGAAGACTTTAGTTTGGGGTCAGTTTTCTAATATTATGCTAAATCTTGGCTTGGACTTGGTCCTTTAAAAAGGACACATTTAACCTTCTGTTAAAATGCTTCTTCATTAATGAGCATTTAAAAACACTGTCTTCTGCATGGGTTTGCACATGTCTGGTGTTGCATTAGGCAAAACAAAGATCTTTAGATGTCGGACAGTGTGTGGTTCATTTTTGGCCCAAATGCTGCTTCTAATTTATAAAGCAATAAATGTCCAAATGATACTAACTTGCTGACCGAGTGCATGGATTCTGATATTCATTATCTGTGTCATTTGATAATGTCAATGATTTAAAAGTAACCAGTGAGATCAGAATTTACTTTGTAGAAATAAAGCTAGTTCCTCCTTTGGTTACAAGGAGGCAGAGATTGCGAAGGGGCTGAGGACCCGAACCACCGAGATGGTTGTTAAGCTCCCAGCTCGCAGCTCCATTCCCGTGGTTGCTTCTCTGGTTTTTCTGTTTTGCCCGGTAGCCCCATTTGATTTTCCTGCCCACTAGAATTTAATAAGTGTCTAGACCTATCTAGGCCCAACTGACATAAATCGATTATAGATAGGTGCATGCTTAACTTGCAAATAGGTAAAAAAAAAAGATGTCATGGTCTTTCTTGTCCTGAGGCATAGAATTGAGATTTCCTGAAACGCAGCAGCGTTTCTGACGCATTAGCTCCTCGCAGGCCTCGGGGTGGTTTAGGGGCGGGCAAGGCCGCGTGGAAACCAGGAGAGAGAACTGCTTAGCAAGATGCGCTTCTGTCCGCTGAATCCTGAGAGCAGGGAGGGCATATCTGTGTCATAATACGGGACTTGTAAGACCGGAACCCATCTTGACAGATGGCCTTAACTAAATGTCTGCGTTTTTTTCTTTTCTGTGTAGAAGAAACATTCACGGGGTCCCACGAGAAAAAATCCACCGGATGAAGGAACGGTACGAACACGACGTCACCTTTCACAGCGTGCTGCGTGCAGAGAAGCCGGGCCGGATGAACAGAAGCCAGGACCGGGCCAGCGCCTCGCCCCCCCATCGCAGGGGCTGCTGGGCCCCCTGCGCGGAGCTCCCCGCCCGGAGGGCTCCCAGCGGCGTCACAGCCGGGGGCTCCTTCAGCCGGAGGGGGCGTTGTCACCATGGGTATTAGACACCGCCTCACAGGCACCCGTTTTCCTAAATCTGTTTTTACTTCAATTTTTGGTATTCATTCTCCGTTCAGTTTTAGTCCAAGCTCTGACCATGCCAGTGTGAATAGCCGGACCTGGGCGATTGTGAGAAGTCACCGTGCCGTCCACAGCGGGCGTTTGGTCACTGACCCTGTGTGCATGGTCTGACGCTGGGAGTTCTGCAGGTTTGGGTGAACAAAGTACTCTCTCCAGGGAAAGAATTTGAAGCTAAAACTCGAGAACGTACCCGGGAAGTCAGTCTGTCACTCACCTAGGTTCATACGTGAAGCAAAGCGTTCATAGTGTACGTGAGCCTCAGTACCCCTTTCTCTGAAGTCATCTGTTTTTTCAGGAATTCACCTCCATCAGGAAAGTTGGACAGGTGGGGAGGAGCAGTGAGAGGTAGGAAAAGTCTTAGTGCCATTGCTACTTTTTTAATCTGTGTATCCAAAAATGTGAGATATGTGGCTATAATGATATTGATTTTCCTTTAAAATGAATATACTAGGAAGTACACATCAAAGGGAATATTGTCCTTCCAAGGAGACACTTGGAAAATTATTTTTATTCTAGTGATGTATCATTGTTAAAAATGTCTGTCAAGTCCTTCTTAATAGCTCACACAAGCTACTGAGGAAAATCGGTGTCATTATTTAGTCACTCTTTGTAGTCTTGTGTTTTAACTGCCACTTTACTGACCAGGATCGAACCTGAATACTGTTTGGCTGTTGTGCTAATAGTGTAAATAAAACAAGCCTCTTTTATAAAACATCAGTTTTTAAGAGGAATCATTAAGCAGTTTTTAAAATTTTGCTTCTAAAGGTAATTAGTTGGCGGCCCCCATGTCTGGGGTCCAGACCACAGAAGGGGTACGTGAAAGTCATGCCCACTGTCACTTCAGCAGTCTTGGTGTCCGTGTGGCATTAAGACAGGGAAGTTCTACAACTCTGCAATGTCTCTCTTCTACCAATACTGAATTTATGAATCCAAATTCTCGGCAGGTTGGAATCAGATTAATCTGGTGTGCGACCTGATAAGACCACATAGGATGTGTGCTTTATTTCTTGTTGGCCAACAGCTTTTCTCTAATGTTCTGTGAAAATTATTTTAAGTGTCTTATATGATGGTGCTTTTATCGTTATTAAAAATTATATATGGTATTGCTTTATATGGATTTTCATTGAATCTAAGTCTTTTTTGTTCAATAATATAAAAAATTAATTATCTACCACAGAATTCTACCATATTAAGAACCACTTTTTAAAAATATCATAAACCTATTTACCGGTGTTCTTTGAAAGGAGACATAAAAGACAAAAACCAACCTTATTTTTACTTGTTTATAAGGCATTTGATCTGTGCACATCAAAAAGACATTACTTTAGCATTCCACTATGACTCTGTTGAATCTGTGACTACCAGCAATGCATGTTTTTTCTTTATTAACATTTAAAGAGTGGTATCTCCTTTAACAGTTTTGCTAATGAAACCGAAGTTTAGTGAATTTGAATAAATCCAAAGTACTGTTCAATTCTACATGTCCAAGCACTGCACACGATAACCCTCTGATAATCCTGCTCGCCCTCCTGTCCAGGCCTGGCCACACTGAGTGCCCGTCAACTCAGCCCCTACAGAATTCGCTCCTCGGGAGGGCTGGGCTCCTTCAGGACGGCGGAGTTACCGTCCCGGAGTCGAGCCCTCCTGATGTAGGACTGGTTCCTGGCGTGGGACTTTGGGTCATTTGGTCTGAGTGACCAATATGGACAAGTGACCCCAGGCTACAGATCCAGAACTTTTCTAGCTCAGAAAAGTAGTTTTCCAGTCTGTCTCTTTCCCGCCCATGACTCCTGAAATACTTGGTATGGAAGCATAAAAATAATTGGCGAAATGCAGCCTAGAAGTGGTTTTTTCCTCTCAGCTCACTGATTTATATAATTTCTTCAACATGTGTTTGACATGTATTGCATTGCGTGTTAACATTTACATCAGTCCTGGGGCTGGCACAGCCCTTTATACACACGACAGGTTCTTACCAAGTGATTGTGGAGTAGCACAAATGGCTTTCACTGTTTATCCCTCATGCAGTGTGTACACTGTTGACTCCGTAATCATTAAATTGTCACTTTTCTGGGTATTAACAGCCGCATGTACTCAAGCTTCATACTTTGCTCAGGTAGCTTAACTGTATTACTTACAATTTATGAGGCGTGTGTGCATTAGATTTCTCTTTAACGAGAAGTCTAAATGGTAATGAAGAATGATGGAGAGAAGGTAATAGCAGGTTTTCTAGGATAAGAAAAAAGGTTAAATTCTTATCATTCTTTCTGTTCACCAGAGACTCAAGTTTTATTCCCTGTTCTAGAGTAGATCACCAGGAAAATGATTAGAACATGAAGACCAGATTGTTTTATAAACAAAGCTCAAATTTAAATTGCATCAACAAGATGGGCAGAACACAAGTTAAAAAGAACAGCGGAAGGGCCTGTTTATTATGTTAATGACTTAGAGGAGGGAAGACTCATGGATCAGTTATGGAAGGAAACAAACTGCTTTATAAAAGGATAGATTCTTGGGTTTGAAATGTGTTTATAATTAGGCTTGAAAACATGGTATTATATATAAATGTTTATATATAAATGTAAGACATATTGAAAGACCCGATTTAAGAGTTTTTCCGTGGTATCAGCTCCTAGTTAGAACTGCTTTCTCTGTTTTCTTTAAACATAAGACAGTAACGAATGAGAACATCATCTTGAATTGAACTGGCACCTTCTGCGGGGTGCTTAGGAGCCCCTTGAGTCCCGTGCAGACAGCATCCATGCCAATTTGAAAGAAAGATTTTAAGTTGCAGTCCAGACCATCATTTTGTTAAAAAACAAAAACAAAATTAACACTATGAAATCTGCTTCTGCTTTAAAGTGCTTGTATTTTAATTGAAATAATTTCAAAGATCACATTGTAATCAGAAAAAGGAATTACGCTGAGAGTTCTATTTTTCTTATAGTCACGCTGACTTAAGGGTGAATAATCGTCAGAAGAAAACCCCACTGTCACATCTTACTCATCCGACGTTTCATTAGGGTAGAACTACAGCAGGACCAACGCACGCATTTGGGAAAACTGGCTCACAGTGGGTTACTGCAAAAAAAACACCTAATATAGGAAACTAAAGTAAAAGGAATTATGCAGGTCAACATAACTACTTAGAACCCTAGTTTCATTTAATTAAGGACACAATCTAAAAAAAAAGTTACGTTTATTTCATTTGTAAAATACTTGTAGTGATCAAATCAGTCATAAAGATCTTTTTTCAGTCAGAGATTTTTGTCTTGATTCGTTAATGAATATCAGTCGGTTTTGAGAGATTTCCAGTGGAGAAGGCGGCAAAGCGTGTCACTCCTGTGACACGCGAGCATGCAGACTGGGAACCACTTCCCTTCTCGTTCTGCAGATACAGACGAGCAGCAGTTTGAAGCTGTGTTGGACTGAGAGGCAAAGAGTCTGTCACCAGTGTATCAGCCTTTCCCTTGCCTCTGCAGTCTCTGGGGAGGTTCATGATCACGCTTGCGTCCTGCACGTGAGGCCCCAGCTCCTGGGCGCTGGCCCTGCTGTGGGGCCGCTCTCGTCCCGACACAGGGTGGTGGGGAGCCTGGTGGCTCCCAGATCACCTTTTGAGCAGTCCTAGCAGAGCACCAGTGGGGTCACCGGGAGATGCAAGTCGGTTTTCTCCCGCTGAACCAGACAAGAGGGCCTGCGTATTAATCAACGCAAGCTCTTCGTCAGCTATCGAATCACTTTCCAGAAGCGAATTGTCATTAAATTTTTTAAGTGGAGTTGTCTGAGGAGAATTCAATTCTTTTTTCTTCATAGGTGTTTCATATTTGGGGCCACAACTCCGTGGTGGCTGAAATGCCTTCTGTGCAGCTGGAGAAACGAATGTACAGATGGGACTGACAGGAGGAGGTAAAGGCAGTCTGCCCAAGAGATCCAGGGCTCTCCTCTTTTTGCAGGTTTTGGGGTCATCAACCTCTTTCTCTCCTTTACAACAAGACTTTGAAGCCTTTTGGGCAGATGGAGGTGTGGGAACAGACTTCCCTTTTGCCTTACAAAGTGCTAAAGGACTTTGACTGTTCATCTCATTGGTGGGAGAAGACATCTAATAAAAATAGTAGCAAATATAATTATGTGCTAATATATAAAACAGCCAAACTAGCTTTTCAATAAAAATATTTAAACACACAGATACCACACACAGTCTCGCTCCACTGACGGCTAACAGGTCAGGTGATTTCATGAGACATTCATATCATTATTCTTATTCTCCCAGAAGGAAATAACTTTGCAGAAGAGGATATAAAATGACATGAAAAGGCGGATGAAGACTAATCATAGTAAAAGACAGAAAAGGAGGTAGGGGACATAAGTAATGCTTTAATATTTTCCTTTTTCTTGTTAACAGGTTAAACAAAGATAACCATTTAAGAACATATTGCCTGGGTCCTAATGCCTGCTTTTCTAACTTGGTTACTTTAGGCAATTGTTTAAGCTCCCTCTGCCATGGTTCCCTCATCTGTAAAATGGAAATATTAATGATGTTTATCTCATAGGGTTGTTGTGAAGGGAATCAGTTAATAGAGACAGACTTAGCAAGTGTTAGCTACTTAAGAATTAGTCATCAGCTGGTACTATAAGCTTTAGCTTGATTTGCATTCATTGTGATTTAAAGAGTTAAACTGAGCTTAGAAACAACCCTAATTGTATAAAATAGTTCTCCTAGCAAAAAGAGTCTTTTCTATCACATGTACTTGAAAATGCTAAAAACGAAAGCACTTGTTTGTAAAATTTTGCCCCCAAAGAGTGTTATATTCTGGCTTCAAATATAAGATATAATTTCTAGAAAACCTATAGGTATAGGAGCCATATAATGATAAACTATACTCTCTAATTAAGCTTACATTTGACCACATTCCTCAGTGTACACCCGAATACGCTGTTGCCTTCGTATACAATATTTATAAAATTCCTTAAATGTATATTAACTCACCAGAAGCCTACTGCCTAGACCAAGGGCCGTCTGAGCAGCGTGTGACTCTGAAGTGCAGCGTTTGGTTGGGGTGGACCACTGATGATTGTTTGCATGAAGTATCTGCATAAGCTTGTTTTCTGCTTCATTGCAAAATCTATCAACATTCTAAGAAAATAAAGTGGGAAGGCTGTTTTATGAAATGCAATCCTACGTGGTCATGTTTTTAGAAAGTGTTACCTTTAAAACCAGAACTAATATTCAGATCAGAAAAAAAGAATGAGACACCCTAAATTTAATAGCAAGTGCCAAACATTATGCCAATGAAAAAAATGCAAAACCAACATCAGTGACGTAGGGAAGGTCAGTTGTTGGAGAGGGGAGGGCGGGCGAGTGTGTGTGCACGTCGGGGAGGACAGAGATGGACGGGGTCTTCCCAGCCGCCTACTTTAAGTGGCGAGGTGTCATGCAGATGAGCTGCCGGAGGCTGGGGCTCTGGCTGCAGCTCTCTTTACTACTGACACCTGCGTGGCTTCCGGTACCTACAGAGTGCTCCTTAGACTAGGAGTGAAGTGAGAGGATGGCCTCCCGTATGTTTCAAGATTAACAGAAATAACATGTAGGTTAAACCACGTGAAACTAGTTCCAGAAGTCACGAATGGTCAAATACTTCATAGGGCTGAAATGAATTGATGAAAGTGTTCTGTAAAACTTTAAAATGCCATGAAATGACAGCTGTCCCTGAACTGCCCTTGCATGGTCTCAGAACCTGAGATGTAAACAGGAGGTTCTCTGCATGGCAGCCAAGTGACAAAGGTCACCTGGCTCCACCCCGAACTCGGGGGCCAGGTACACCAGGTGCTACTCTGCGCTGTGTGTCCTGCGTCTTTAGGTAAATACTGCTAACTTCCTTCACACAGCTAGTTACTCTAATGCTTTTAAAATGTTTTTATTTATGTCAATTTTGAATAACACTTTAAATATTAAACTATAGAACCATGAAGCTTATCTTTTGTAGATTCTACCCGTTAGCAGTCTGTAAAACCCAGACTGTTACAGGGGCGGCTCTGCACAGAAGCCAGTGCTCTGGGCTCTGGCTCAGGTGGCCGAGTGTGCATCCGGCTCTACCGGGGGAATTACCAGTAAAACGGAAAGCCAGTTCCTCATCAGGCAGTGTTAGGATAAGGCCTGGCACACAGTAAGCACTCAGTAAACTTGAGCTAATGTTATTATGTGATGTATATACAGACGGAAGCAAAACTGCATATGATCCAGGGAAAATAATTTTAGAGTTCTCCTATTTGGGATTATTTCAAATCAAAGACAGGTACAAATTGTGTAAAACAGGAGATAAGGAGTTTAAAATGTCAACCTGGAGTCGGCATGTTATTAACTAATTACACGCCACTCACTGAGGACCACAGGTAACTCATGTCACTTGTCACCAGTTCTCAGTCCGCCTACACAGCCCGTGGCTCCGAACACCCTTCTCCCCTTTCTTCCTCAGTCACTCTTTTTTCCCTGGTAGCTGTCAGCCCCCACCTCTTCAGGTTCACGAGCAATCAACACAGGACAGAACCCCTGACATCATGTGTCAGCATCCAGTTTTTATAAAAGCCATTCCTCTGATACCTGATTCTCAAAATAGGAAAACACCAAAACGTGTGGTAATGCTCAAAACTAATTTTACCTCAATAGCATTTCTCATTTTGTGGAAAGTCTCTTGAAAATGGCCCTCCTTTGGACTGGCAGAAAACACGGAAAAATCTCCAGCAAATAAAGTAGGAATTCCTGATTTGGAGTCTGGTCGCCACTGGAGGTTGCTCGCAGCAATTAACACGTGCGGTTTAATAATTTCTTCATTCAGATCGATCCAAAACTTTACTGCCAGTAAGTTATGGCATTCATCCGACAAATAGACCAAAGGAGCAAGACCTAAAACGGAAAAAACGAAGAGCAAAACACCTGCTTCATTGTGTGTATGTTAGATAAATTTAAAGACGCAAGGGACCTCATACACCCATTTATTTTGGTATGCTAATGGTAAAAACAAATCGAGTAAGTTTAGAGAAAGCTTAGGATTCCCAAAACGACCCGATGCTTACAGCGCTGAAATTGCAAGGCCAACATGACAGTGCATTCCGTCCCTGGGGCCGTGGGAAGCAGGCATTTTCCTACAGTGCTGTGGGAACACAAAGTCGTGCAACTCTCTGGAGAAAGATACACCACAAAGCGACACGCACTTACCTTTCCACCTGGCAATCCCCCTGGTACTGTGCCATGAAGACACACTTCCAGTAGCAGTAACACACACGGGCAAGGGAGAGGAAGCGCGTGCGAGGGTCTGCACTGAAGCACTGTTCCCAGGTGTGAACGGCCGTGAGCAGCCTACACTAGCTCACAGGCTGGACCCGCACACCCACACAGCGACCTGCCACACAGCTGTACACACGGAGTCTCTACCACGGGGCTGCCACACACACTGTTCAGTGAGAAAGCGGCACGGAGGGAAGATAAGCGTGTACCCTTCCTGTAAGGAGGGGAGAGGAGAAAATGGCACGCTCAGTGCCCCTGTACAGAACATGCGCGGGAGGGACGGAGCAGAAGCCGCAGGGTGGGTCTGTGCAGGGAACGGCGGGCAGCACCAGGCCGGCATGGATGGGGAGGGGGTGTCACTTCTCCAAGTCTTTGTGTCACTCTGACTTGTAGAACCACAATGTTCACACAGCCATCACACCCCGCCTCCCAAAAAAACCAGACAGAACCACCCAGCCACAGGAACCCCAGCTGGAACACAAGCGTATTTCCTAGTGCTGTCTGCTTGAAAGGGCGTGTGAACAGTGATGCCCCGTAACACGAGCACTCGCAGTCAGAGCTCGGCTCCAGACATGGGCCCCGGGTCCCTCGGAGAAGCTCGGTAGGTCCCGGAATACCGTTTGTGCACCGTCGTTTCACGGAAGGTTGATGCGATGCCACAGGAGCTTCACTCGTTTGTATCAATTAGCCCGTCGGAAAACTGGTTTTGTGACATGTTGTTTGGCTTAAAGTTGCAGACCCACCACCAACACTGAGTGAGGACCCGCTGCAGCTGACTGGACTGGGGCCTGGACCTCAGATGACCTGGAACAGCTGTCAGGCCAGAGAGCAAGAAGGGCTCGAAGAACAGGAGTCAACCCGAAAAGCTCCTAGCGGCCGAAACAGAAGCAACAGGAGCAGCAGAATAACGAAGGTACTGGATTTGAACCCACAGAATAAACAAACGTCCGTAAATCCACACTGATACGACTCAAACGAGCAAATACACGTGGGGAAGGGACAGCGCTTCCTTACGGGGGCAGTCCAGTGAACACGGAAGGGAAGAGAAAACCACCATCAGGCAAGTACCGCAGAGATGACTGGCAGACAAATCAACTGGTGGATGCTGGAATGAATGGGTGACAGAGGTGAAGCAAGATCTGCATAGTTTTAAAGAATCTTCAAGATGTTTCTCGACTACGAAGGGATGACAGTTATGTTCCAGATGAGAAACCCAGAGACACCACCTGAGCCAACTGATCAAGGGTGCCACTGCAGCGATAAGAATTATCAACGCCACTGACCCTTTGAGACGAGGTACAGAGAAGGACAAAGCATCAATTCCGCCGTAATTTTGCCAAAAATGAACAATTTACTCCAATCGTGAAAAAACGTCAGACAAACCCAAATTAAGGGAAATGCTGCAAAAGAACTGATCAGTCCATTTATGAGTGTCAAGGTCACGAAAAACAAGGGCAGACTGAGGAACCGGTCGAGACTGCAGAAGACTAAGGAGAGAGATGAGTAAATGAGACTGGGGGCCTCGAGGGGAGGAAGGAAAACAATAAAAAACGTCAAATTCAAACACAGCTACAGCGCAGGCAAGACCCCTGCACCAATGCTGACTTCCGGGCTCTAAACTGTAAGTTGGTCGTGGGAGATGTTACCGTGGCGGGGAGTGGGCGGGGAGGGGGGACATTTGGAGACAGTTATTTTCACAACTTTGCTAAGGTCTAAAACTAGTTCCAGATGAAAAGTGAACTCTAGTGCCAAATGGGCAGGGGCCGAGGTAAGCAAGGGGAGGCCGTCCCTGTCCCCGGTGGGAAGAATCGCCTCCCCACCATGCAGTACATGAGGAAATAGGAAACGACTGATGAGGAAACAGAACGCCGGCTGCACAAGGACGGGCAGAGGCCTTCTGCGGTCCGGAGCCCGTTGCCCCAGCTCGCACCCTGCGCCCCGCTCAGACCCTGCGTGTGCGCCAGAGCCCCGTGTCCCCAGGGAACTGACCTGGGAAGGGGGGACCCATCGAGGGGGTTCACTTCATCTCTCGGGGTTCCTGGACCCCCACCCCACATGCGCCTGGGTGCGGAGCCCAGACCTCAGGCGCTCTGCCACCGTGCCTTCTCTTCACTGCAGCACAACACCCCGAAATGCTGCGCTCGCCTCGCTGTCCCCTCCTTCAGCATACCCTGCTCCTCTCTCTCAGTGGCCCCCTCCCACCTGTCCCCCGAAGGCCCCCGTGTGCCTGTGGGTTGCCCTCGCTCTTAGCCTTGCAGCCCTGCCTTCTCCCCGCCTCTGCAGAGCTCAGTCTCAAGGCCCCAGCCTCTCGCTGCTCCCACTCCCGTTTCTGGAGGTGGCCGCTCTCCATCTCTGCCTCCGGGCGGGAGTGCATGAGGCCCTTCTCTGTCTAGTCTCACACCCCTAGAGTCCCTGGCCAGTCGCAGAGCTTTAAACACCAGCCGGATGCTGACTTCAGCTCAGACTGTCCCCTGGGCAGTCTCCTGTAGCCAACTGTTGGGGGACGTCACTTAGATTAAGCACCTAAACTTAACTGCAAACTGAGCTCCTGACCCCTGACCTGTCTCCTCGCAGTCTCCCCTCTCAGCACGTGGAAACTCGGTCTCCCATGTGCTTAGACCAGACGCCGGCACTGACGTCTTGACCCCTGTCTCCACCCCGCATCATCCCCCTACCTTCAAAATACAAGCAGAACCCGACCACTTCTGACCACTGCAGGGCTGCCGTCTGGTCCAAACCACCAGCATCTCTTGCCTATATCCTTGCAAGAGCCTCCAGCTGCTTCCCTGTTTGTACCCTCTTGCCCCTACTGTCTGCTCTCAACAGCAGCCTAATGAACCCTCGAGAACCTAGTCAGAGGTGTCACCCCTCCCATCATTCTCGGGGAGAGTGACAGTCTGTGCAAGGACCACCGCGTGCCCTGGTCCTCAGTGCCTCTGCCTGCTGTTGCGTAAAACTCGCTCACTGCCTTGGGCACTGCTCAAAGGCACCGGGCGGGCAGGCGGGCGGGCCTGATGTACCACGGCCTCAGTCGCCTCCTTCCTTTGGCCTGGAGTGCTCCTCCCCAGATGTCCAGACGCCACCTCCCTCCAGTCCTTCAAGCCTCACTCAGATGTCAACTGTGCAGCGAGGTCTTTCCTCATCTCCCTTCCCCCCACACTGCCTGCCACTCCCTATTTGTTTTTTGTTAGCAATTACAAACAAAAGTGCAAATGCTACTTGCTTATGTTGTTGGTGATCTCTCCCCTGCCACACGTAAACTCCATGTTTTGCCTGTTTTGTTCACTACTGCACATCCAGCACTCCCAACAGTGTCTGGCACGGAACAGCCATTCGGTAAATACTGAGTAGATAGATGCAAGTTACCGCCGCCTATGACAACACAGAAGGTGTGGAGAAGAGGCGCCCAGGTGTGACCGAGACGAATGAGACGCTATGGAAACAGTGCAGGGTGTTAAGACACCACAGTCAAAAACCCACAAAGCACCAAAACAGCCCCACAAAACCCGTTAAAATGAAGGAGAGAAGAGCACAGCCCATAAGAAAACAAAACTACAAGTGAACAGAAGAATTCCCAAAGTCTTCAAGACAGATTCAGCTACTAAACTTAAGAAGAAGGTGCACTGACATAAAGGCTTGACTATGGGATGATAAATGGCCCTGTAAGATGATGGGGCTGCAGGAGCAAAGAAATGAACTGAGGACCCCGGTATGTGATCACAGTGGGGCAGATACACACATCAGAAATAGCAAGAAATAGAACACGTCGCAGAAAATAAAATGACTGACATAGAGACTGGGCATAATAATGATGAATGAAGATGAAAAAGATACACAGAGGCAACCAGAGAAGAGATAAAAATAATCCAACATGAGACTAATTATACTCTTCATAAATGGGATGGCACATACAATGAAATTACAGCTCCCTCCGAAACGAGGAAGCACCGAGTCCGCAGATCCAGTGAGCGCTGTGCCCCGGAGAGGCGCACGCAGTGCTCACACCCAGACGCAGCTCAGTGCAGCTCCGGGCTGCACAAGGTATCCTCAGCCATCCAGACACGAAAAGAAAATCTTCTAAATGGGGGAAACAACAGGCCAGTCCCAGACTGTTCGATGCCAACAGAGCAATTTCTACCAAGTTCTGAGGGAAGGAAAGAAAGCGTGATTCCAGTGATTCCGTAGTATCATGCCTACGGTCTCAGAGCCAGGAAACAGGCCCACATGGCAAACTGTGAGGGACTCGTGGGATATGGCGCCCACGAGGCCTTCCCAAAATAAAGATCGACAATAAACCTTAGCCAGAGAACCAAGGCAGGTGGAAACCACGACAGGGCAGCTGATAACAAGGAACCCACCCAGTATTTGTGGCCTGCGCTGTACCAGGCCCTGTTCTAGAACCTGAGGACACAGCAGCAAGCAAGTCCCTGCCCTTCCCGAGCTCACAGCCTGGAGTGGGACAGAAACGGCGCAGTTCGCAATGTCAGGCACTGCTGAGTGCGATGGGGACTCTACAGCCAGGCTGGGAGCTGAGGGCGTGCTGCTCTCAGTGGTGGTCAGGGAAGGCCACTGTGAGGTTGCATCCGACCAGACTTGAAGGAGCTGCGGGAGCCGGCCATGCGGCTGAGTGGGGACAAGGTTTTGGGAGGCGGACAGTGAGTGTGAAGGCTGCGATGAGAGGGAGCTGGGCAGGCTCAGAACAGCAAGGGAGGTGTCAATGCAGCTGAAGTGGGACGGGGCGGCAGACTGCAAGGAGAGGCGACTGGGGTGCCTGGCACAAAATAATCAATGGAAGGCTTTGTCCTTCAACTGGGACCTCAGCTGGTCTGTGACACTTCACAATACTCAGGGAGACGAGAGAGTGGCTTTGTGAACAGAATTGCAATGTCATGTCTAAGGAATTAAATATGAACACAGACAACTGCGGCTGAGATGCTGGGAGTGTCCAAATATGCCAGCCTCACCCCACGGATGCGGTGGGTGTCTTTTGCTTCCGGCCTAGGTTCCCATGACTGTCCCCTTCACCTCTGAATTTATTTAACCTTATTGCATAAAATTCTTCTCCCTCCCCTACTCTTAGGGTTTTGAGGACTGATAACTGTGAACCAAAGGAGAAAAAGAGACACCAGACAGAGTGTCAACTACCCACTGTGTCTGCTGGTGGAGCAGGACTGGAGACTGCGGCTCGATCGAAGACTAAACTACGAAAGCCTCCCCTCTCTCTCGGCGGCGCAGGGTGCCACTCCGGCGGGCCACTTTGCTAGCTGGAGGGGGAAGGAACATGCACGTGGGGGTCACAGACTCCAGGGAGAGCCTAAGGGAGCCCAAGACAAACATGGATGACCTATTCCCCACGTTCACCAATGAAATAAGTCTTTCCTTGGGAAGGACAGAGTGAAGGGACTGGAGAGAAATGGATTTTCATTGTTATTTAAAATTATTTGTTCCTCAAAAAATTAAAAATAGAACTACTATATGATCCAATCTCTCCACTGCTGGCTATGTAGCTGAAGGAAATGGAATCACTATCTGGAAGAGAGATCTGCACCGCCATGTGCACTGCAGCATTCTTCACATGGCGAAGACATGGAGACAGCCTAAGCGCCCATCGACAGACGAACGGATAAAGATGTGGTATAAACACAGGAATACTGCTCACCCATAAAGAAAGAGGAAATCCTGCCTTTTGCAATGACATGGATGGACCTCAATGGCATTGTGCTATGTGAAATGAGTCAGACAGAGAAAGACAAATACCAGATGATCTCACATGTGAAACCTAAAAAATAAAAACAGAAACAAAAACTCAAAGAAAAAGAGATCAGATTTCCTGGTTGGGAGACAAATCTGCCCTCGGTCCTTCCGGGCCTCCCTGCTCTACAGACATGTATGAAGAGACGGAGGGGACAGCAGGCGCCACCAAATAGGTAGAAACATCACGAGAATTGTCCTCCTGCACGAGGAACTGATGGGACAAACAGAAAACAGTAAGGTGGTGCATTTTAATCCAGCCTTATCAAGAATCACATTAAAGGTGATCAGGTTAAACAAACCGGTTAAAAGACAGAGACGGTCAGGTGCGAGAAGGAAGCAAGACCCAGCCATACCATCTCCCAGAAACAGACTTTAAATATGAACACTTTGACAGGTTAAAAATAAAAGAATGCAAACCAACACTAACCACAAAAACATGGGAGTAGCCATATTGAAAAAAACAGGCTTTAGCACATTTAGAGATGTTACTGGGGACAATGAGGGCTACTACAAAGGAAAAAGAGCAGACCAGACCCTGAGGCTGGAGGTGGAGCTTGACTCCTCGGCTGACCATGATGGGGAAGATAATGACCCGCCTAGTTGTCACTAAAATGCTGCAAAACATCTCCTACCGCTGCTTTACAGTTAAGTAGCACAGAGCGGGACACACGTTCCTTTCCGTAGCACTACGGAATTGCTTTTCATTAAGAATCTGAGATTAAAACAGGCCAACTTTCAAAAGCACTGCCAAATTTGCCAATTTGTAGCTTCAATTAATCATAGGGAAGACAAAATTTAAAAGATGATGTTTTTCAGCAGCATCGATAAAAAGACACAATTAAATATGCTGTACATTACCTATTTTCCTCACAACAGAAATAACAAATCCTATCAGGTCCACCTCAGCACAGGGCGGCTGGAAGTCTGGATTCGAGAGCTGGGGGAAGGGAAGGGGCCTCCTTGGCTGGTAAACTTGGACCAGGATTCCATCTGAAGCCTACAAGAAAAAAATTCAGTATACGTCGATCCTATTGACTAGTTATGCATTTATCAAAACAAAAAAATCATAATGGAAAGTGCGTACCGGCAGTTGTTGATACTGAGTCCGTTTTGTCGCTGTTAACTGCAGGTTAGCACGTCCGGATTTATTTTTAGGTTTTGATGTTGCGAGATGATAGATTCTGCATCTCTGTCCCTCTCTTAACAGGGAATATAAATCCGATGATGGACGCCAGATACTCAGTATAACTATTTGAATAAAGAGGAAAAAGACACAATGGAAGAAGTGATTATCATTAACATTCTTGTTTAAAAATGGGCACTGATAACAACTGAGATCTGAGGATGATACCATCATTTTGTGGACGCTGGTAACCCATTTTTGCTCCTCTGATATACACTACCTTTACACTTTATCTAGCATTTGAAATCATTTTATGAATAATACTTTAAGTTAAAACTGATAAAAAAAATTTACATACTTGAATCTTTTCCTTTTTTCTCATAGCTGATTATTCGCAGCTTCCACATAGTTGTAACGTCCCTTGATGACACCTGGTCCCCTTGCTCAGCAGATTCCACAGCCTTCCTGAATTCCAGCTGGATCTGTGCTTGCTTCTTATCATTCAACATCTGTCTGTGATTATTCAAGGCTCTCAACTGCTCTTCACTAAAATAACTCTGTGATCATTTAATATATGAAGGCAGATAATGTTGGAATGAAAAGCAAACAAAGCAAACACAAAACACCATCTACTGTAAGTGAATCTCTTAAATGGGGATAAAATACAACAGAGTTGAGTGACAATATAAAATTGAGATTAATGTACTCAGCTTATCACATAAAAATATTTTCAAGTGCCTTAAACTGTTTACTAATCTTTGTGACAAATTTCTGTAGGGCCAAAACTGCCCCCTACTTACAGATGTTCTCCAGTAATCACAACCATCAACATCGATGACATAAATGGCTAACAGCTGAGAGTTCACTACATCTGAGAAATGGGTCTATGTGTCCTAAAGGAATTAATTCATTTCATCCTTACAGTGACCCTCTGAGGAAGACACTGTTGTTTCCACGTTACAGATGATGAAACTGAGGCACAGAGCATAACTAACTCACGGAGGCACATGTGGAGGAACGAGCTCCAGAGCCCTCATTCTTAGCCCCTTAGTATAATTTCATTAACTCTCTGGAACGGTAGATACAATTTAACACAGATATGTGCCTCCACGCTTCTCTCCCATATTTCACCAAACTGCTGTCTTGGGACTCTCAGCCCAGTGTAACAAAAATGAACAAATGAATGAATGAATGAATGGATGAACAAAAATAGAACAGAATAAAGTAGAAGATGGAACCCGACACTGAACACACTAACGAGTCTGCTGCTGCTTCACAAACCTTAACATCCTAACGTCCGCCAAGAGGGAGACTCGGAGCTCTGTACCCTGAGGTCTTCTAAAAATGTAGACAGAGTTTAAACATGAATCTAAGAAAACCACGTGACTTCCGAAGTCCCAAAACATTCCACGCTGTCACTCAAAACAAACCCTTTGATAGGGTATTTTAGAAACTGATGGTTACTATTCCCTCCAAGAATTACAATGATAACTTTATCCCAGTGAAATCTCAAGGAGCCATGTAAAACCAGAACCTTAGCGATATGCTGCTCTAAGGCCTTCCCTTGACAGCAGGTGGACAGGAAGCCTAGGAGACAAACTCAGAGTGGCAAGGCCAGGTCTCGAGCTTAGTCCTCTAGCTCTCTGCCTTACTGCCACCTCACTTCCTCCTTTTAAGTCCATTCTATAACAGGACTCCAGACTAACAGATACTTGGTTAAGGTTTGTGGATGAAATTAAAACTATCTTCACAATGACACATGACGCACGAGCCTCAGCGTAAGTACTAACACGAGTCAGAGGCAAATGGCTTCTCGGAAGGAGGGCGGCGCCCTGGCTCTCAGAACGCAGTGGCTGTGCTTGTGGCCTCATGCTGGCTTCGCATCCTGCGGGGAGCACCCGGGCTGCACTGCCGGGAGCCGGGGTTCCGCTCAGCGCACACTGCCCACTCTCCTAGCTGCTTATCTCGTGGTCCTGCCGTTTAAGAAGATTAAGGCTATATAGAAGATTTATTGTCACCAAATGAAGTTAATCGATAAACAGTGGTTTTCCTCTCTTCCCTATCTAGCAAACTAATCTAGAATTTGCATTAATTACATACCTGGGTGTCTAAAAATTTAGGAAGTAGCTTACCTGACTATATGAAATGATGTTCTAATAACAGTAATTGACATTTATATGAAATTTTATAATAGTTCACTTTAATATACATTATCTAATTTGATCCTAAAACAACTTTATTTTATGACCATTTTATAGCTATTTTATGCCAAATTTGTGTGGCTAGTAAACGGCAGGACCATGATCCTAAAGCCTATGGCATTTCTAACACCGTTTAGTGCTTCTGGAACTTCTCCACCTAAGGGCCTATGAGATAGAGGATTATGAAACATCAGACTGAGAACATCGGACCTAAAACACTGCTTTTATCTTAAGTAAACACGTTTTGCCTGCATTTTAAGCCACTTTTATTTACTGTATAAATTATTTAACCGTATCTTTTCTTTGGTACAGAATTGAAAACGCACCACTGTGGTTTGGCACGTCACTGAGGACCCCGCAAACACACACACTACCTGTGAGAAACACAGCATTTAGCATAGTGCTTCCTGTGATGCCAGAGAGGGACCACCACTCCCCCTGTGACAGACGCAGACCAAGGCTCACTGTACGCCCCCTCCGCCTCTCACCTCCAGGTAAGCGGGGTCTGGCGCGGCCCTCACGGCTTCATAGAGCTCGGCACCATCCTGCAGGGCACGGACTTGCTGTCTGGTTAGAGCGCGCGACGGCAGACACTGTCTGCTTATATTTTCTAGGGAAAAAAGCATCACTCATTAGCTAAACTGCAGAGTTAACAATTCTGCAAGCTAGACAAATGAGCAAAAAACACCCAAAGAAGCAGGGTTAAAAAGTAAGAAATCATTTACCTGCCAAAAGTTTTCTAGGAAAATGTGGAAGTTATGCTTTTAAAGTATACTCATGCTTTAAAAAATTGTCACACAGAGTTTACTTAATTAATATGTAAATTAAGTAAATGATTTATGATTCATTTAATAATTAACAGCATGAGCTAGTGATAACGAAGTAAATCAAGTTTTGAGAGTCCAATTTTTATGCAGATTTATATAGAATGTGAAGTTAAATAATATAGAAAATCATGAAGAAATGCAGGAGAATATAAAATTTTCAGCAATAAAAAAGGTGGATAAAAAAGTAAATTTTGTGTCCTTTAAGCAAAAAAGAAAACCACCTATGATTTTTATCATTAAAATTGATGCCACAAGGAAAACAGGTTCTAGCTCCAAGCATAATAACATAAAACCCAACAACTGCAAAAACAAAAAATGCATAAGTTATACAGTGTACATAAGGAAACTCAAGAAAGAGAATGACAAAGGGCTTAGGGGAAAATAATGTTTTGAGTGTTTTTCTTTTTTTTTAATTGACTATATTTGACATGTGGCACTGTGTAGATTTAAGGTGTTCAACGTGTTCTGTTGATACATTTGCCGTTGATATTTATGTCATTGCATAATTACAGTACAACATTGTTGTCTGTATTCACTATACTGCACATCAGATCTCTATGGCTTATTTCCTACCTTAAATAGCATCGATCTCATCCCCCGCCCTATGCCCTGGTAACCACCGTTTTATTCTCTGTTTTTTACGAGTGCTATCATAACAGTATTTGTCTAGGGAAAAATAATTTGATAGTTCTTTCCCTTGCTACTAGAATCAAAAAAGGATACTATAAATACTTTAGTACTGAAGCTTAAGGAGTTTACTTAAGACTTCTGCAAAGTGCTGTGGGTGCGTAATGTTTTATTGCCTAAGATAATTACAAGAATCTAAAAGCTCAGTGTGTTGAATAAAGGTGTAATAATTTGGGGTCAGGTCAATGCTTATCTGTATATTTACATCATAATATTTAAAAAAAAAAACAACAAAAAATTCAGATGCAGAATTAGAAAAAAGAAATCTATTACTCAAAATATAATTCACCCAATGATAAAAGTTAAATAAGAAGCTTTCAAAACTTCTAATTGAAAAATTTGTTTTCATAAAAAAACACTTGTAATATACAACTCATTTTACCTTCCTGCTCTTCAAATTCTGCCTGAATTTTAGTGAATAAGGCTTCCAGTTTCCTTTGTTGGGTCTCTGCATATTTTGCTGCTTCCTTTTCTTCTTCTCGTTCATTGCGAAATATGTATAATCCAGACGAAGTCTTCTCCACCCACTGTCATAATGCGTCAAATGGAAAGAAAGACACGGCAGGAAGGATCATTCAAATGAACTGTCTCAAGAGACGGAACTACAGAGTCCGTTTCAGGACCACATCATACCTGGACAGGGTATGCTCTTTGGATAACCACGTCGACACAAGCAGTGTTTCCTCCGTCACTGAAAAGTGATGACAAGGGGACAGGAAAAGGTCTGGGGTCCGTACAGAACCCAAGCTTGGCGTCCCAGCATGCAGGCCGTGTGCTGTTGGCAGAAATCTGGACAAATGAAGGGACACGTCAGTTTACAAGTGAAGTCAACATGTTCAGTTCTACTGTAGATTTCATGAGAGTTTCATTCATTTAGGACCACTTTAAAAATACTCACAGTGAATAAGGATAAAACTAAAAAAAAAATACTTTCAAAATGTAGCATCTCAAAAAACTGCTTATATTGCTATAAAGTCTAAACATTACGTTAATGTTGCTACAGGCATACCGTACTACCGCACAGACATTGTGCATTTTGCACACTGAAGGTCTGTGTCAACCCTGAATCAAGCATGTCTCTTGGTGCCGTTTTTCTAACAGCATTTGCTTGCTTTGTATCTCAGTCACATTTTGGAAATTCTCCATTATTATTATATTTGTTATGGCGATCTGTAATCAGTGATCTTTGAGAAATCATTTGTGAAAGGAAGAGTCAATCTATGAGGCAAACCTCACTGATGTCTTATTTTAAGAAATTGCCACAGCCACCCCAGCCACCAGCAGCCATCACCCTGATCAGTGGCAGCCGTCAGTGTTGAGTCAAGACCCTCCACCAGCAAAGAGACTGGCTTGCTGGAGGCAGAGATAACAGCAAACACTTTTTAGAAACAGTGTTTTTAAATTAAGGCATGTACATTTTTTTAACATGATGCTATTGCACACTTAACAGACCACAGTACAGTGGAAGACAACTTTATATGCACCGGGGAACTGAAAATCCGTGCAACTCACTTTATCGCGCTCTTCCCCACTGAGGTGGGCTAGAACCCAACCCGCAGTGTGTCTGAGGTATGCCTGTGCTAGGAAATGAATACAAGAGACTTTGATTTAAACATGATGGGTTAAAATATACTTAGTTACGTAGGTTCCCTCAAAACACAGAGACAAAGAGAACTAGAGAGGACAGTAGATGAGATATTATCAAAATTTTGGAAGCTAAATATCTGTTGGACAAGTGATAGATGACAAAGCAGCTCAAGAATGACTACAGTCTATCAAAACAGCAAACAGTCACGGGGTGCTTGCGGTAGTGCCTGGCACAGTCAGTGCTCTAGATATAGTCACATCAGGCTTCACGACAACCCTAAGGCTTCTCTCCCACTCTACAGGTGATGGAACTAAAGCACAAGGAAGATTCCACAACCTCTCCAAGGTTCCAGCTAGCAAACTTGTGCGGAGCCAGCAAGAAACAAAATAATTTAAAGGAATCACCCAGGTAGCTTTGTAGGCAGGAGCAGGAGGTACGGCTGAAAACGGGGGGAAGAGCTGAGATTCTGATGAGGATGACTAGGACCTCAGATACCAAGCAATCAGGCGACTGTCCTTCCCTAACACCAAAAGGAACCTGGGATGGTTTACTCTATCGGGGGGCTGAACCACCCAATCCTGGACTCTGGAACGCCAGCGGAGGCAGCTGGGTGGGGTGAGATGCTTTATGGGAACCCTCATGCTGAAAGGAGTCCCCTGCGAGTCTGCTTCCTCTGCTCAGCTCTCCGAGCAGTCACCGGTATGTGCGGGGTGCCTAAGAGAAAATTACATTCCCCACTTAGCACCCTGCAAGGTGACAAGCCCGCCTCACACGCCAGCTGAATAAAGTCCCCAACCTGAGACACCCAAAGAAATGAAAAAGGAGCTTCTCATAGGAAAGAAAATGCAAGGGGCAGAAAACACTAAAATAAAACGAAATATTCATCAATAACTTCAGAAAGATGATAAGATACTATACCTATGAAATGAGAACCTGATGTCATAAAAATATCATCCCCGCCATTTAGGGGATGATAAAGGTCTCCTGAAAACTGAAAATTATGCCAATAGGCACAAATTCGCTGTAGGGATTAGATGGTAAGATTAAGAACTAGTAGGGGAAAAAGACAACAAAACAGAATACAGGAGAAAAAAAACAAGCCCATCAGAGGATGACCTAAGAGGCCCAGTGCCCAAATATCAAGAGTTCAAAAAAAAAGAAGAGGGATAATAGAAGAGAAAAAATTATCAAAGAACAACTTCCAGGAAATTTCCAGGAACTCAACGAAAGACACGTTTATAGACTGATGTCTACGGCCATGCCACCTTGAACAAGACCGATCCCGTCTATAAGCTGACAAGGTCCTAGCAATTTGTGAGGTCAACCAAGGGTTGCCTTGCCTAAAAAAAAAAAAAGAAAAAAAAATATATATGTAAAAAAATAAGAAATACATATAGATTGAGTTCCACTGTGTCCCCAGGACAATGATTTTTTAAAAAGGCTGACTTCAAAGGACATTATTATGAAATTTCAGAATACTGGAGACAACAACCTTAAAACCAGGTCTTGCAGCGAAGGGCTGGGAAGGGAATGGCACCGAACTCAGCAGGAGCCCCCTAGAAGCAAGGACGACAGAGGAGACATCCTCACAGATCCGGAGGGCCACGTTAGTCTCAAACTCGCACCTGGCCCACCTACGACAGGGTCACAGACGCTGCATGCTCCCTTTCTCAGGAAGCCTCTGTGGTGGCATGTCCTTAAAACTCAGGAATAAATCTAGAACGATAGGATATCCAGAAAATAGGGCTTCTAATACAGAAAGCGGTGAAAATAATTTCCAGAATAACACTGTAGCACACGTAGAAAATAGCCGCTTCAGAATGAAGTAGGAATGTGGACAGGTCCAAAGGTGATTCGAGGAAAAGAAATGGAACCGGTAAAGCTATTTCCACAAACTGTGATGAGTTTACACAGCTCCTGTGTGGGCATGAGTTGGTGGTAAGCACACAGAAAATTAAGAAAAACCAAAAAAGCAATACAGTTAATAACTCCAGGGAAAGCAATAAGTTGTAGAGAAAGGAAATGTAATCACAGTATATTAAAGGCTGAGCTACAAAAACATTTTTCGTAGTGGTTACAACGTAAACACTGAGCGCAGGCCTCGCTCGGCCCCCTAGCAGGATGCGCACAGTCACCGTCTGAACCAGAGGAGAAAAGGGGACGTAGCAGTGTAAGCGAAAGGAATAGCCGCAGGCACTTGAAGTGGCTGCCTCTGGGGAGCACGGACAAGGTGGGCAGGGCTGCAGTAGCGACTGCCTTTCTGGAGGGACACAGCCTTCCAGTCACGCGCCACTTAACAACTGGATGAGTTCTGAGAAATGCATCTGAAGACCCTGCCACATACGCTGGATTGTCAGTACATTCTCAAGAGATTGAGCCTCTGTAACAGGCATCAGTAAACTTAGATGCTGAAGATAAAACCTCTCGGGAACTCAGCTGAGCTGGCGACTGGCGTTTTCCCGAGCGCGGGCATTCAGGGACCTCACCTTCAACATGAGAGTTTCTGAGGCTTCCAGAGGGGAACAGGCCTCGGGAGGGCCCAGCAGTTCAGCTCCGTGAGTGACGACCTTCTGGCCGACGCCCAGCCTGCCCGTCTGCAGGAGCGCCGACAGGGGAGGGTCGAGCTGGGCCCTGATGGCGTACCAGCCATCTGTCAGTTCCACGACAGCCGCTTTGCTGGCTTCCGCGCTGCTGGTTTTACCACTATGAGTTTCGGATAGATGTGTACTTGACAGAATTACTTCAGAAACACAGAGAACAAGTGTTTTTGCAGCCGTGTCATCCCTTTCCATTATCTTTTTTATAGCCGATCTTCTGCTTCTGTCAATTTCTATATCATACCTAAAAAGAAAAAGAAAAATGTGCGTGTATAACTTAATAGTAAAAAAAAGTTGCTGACTAATCGAAAAAAAAATTTAATACTTTTACTGAAGAAATACTGAGACAGAAGAGAATTTAAAATTTGGTAGCTAGCAATACATTAAGTTTTATACTGTTGAAGTATGAACTGAATAGTAAAACCCCCAGAAAGTGGATCCGCTTAGTAATTCATATTCTTCTCATGTGGCAAGAGGTTAGACGGGGGTAGAGGAAGCGAGAGGTGTGTTAGCATGTGATCTCTACTGAGTGGGACGGCAGCTGTCACCGACGGCCGGCGCGTGCACCTTGAGGGCACTGAAGCCACAGGCTGTGCTGACGTCGGAACCGTGCCGCAGGGACGGTCCCACCATGTTGCGTTTTCAACTTGCCTGTGTTTCAGCTGAAGCAGCACTGTCTCTGGATTTAGGCATCTGCTGGCAAATTCCTTGGGAAAGGCAAATTCCATGGCTGCCAGTTTCCATATGATCCATCTATAGTGATTGTAGACCCAAACTCTAGAGATGAGCTTGGGGTCCACGCCTGGGGTGTCACACAGTGCCCTGAGCAGAGGAGGATAGAATGACATAATAAAAACCACAGAAGATCACATTGAATTCACTAGCCATGACTACTCTTTACAAAAAACTACTATACAAGAACATTCAATAAGTTTTAGAAATAATTTCAGAAAGTGATTTGACATGTATCAAAATATAAAAATTCACTTAACGTATTAGTCAATACAATTACTTCAACTGGAAAATGAAACCTTTAATTTAAAATAATTATATTTGAGATGATTTTTCTTGTTCAACAGTTTGATTTTAGAAATCCCCTGAGGACTTCTCTCTCTAGTCTCGGTGCTCCCCCTCTGCTCAAATCTCAAAGCCCTGCTCCTTCCCCACTGTTGCTCTCAGGACCAAGGACAGAGCCGCAGTCAGAGGAGCTCCAGCCTGCATGTCAGGAGTGCTACTCGTCCCCTGCCCCTGGCCTTCTCCTGCCACCTGTACACATGCCCCGCCCCTTCTCGGCTATTCAGGGACACAGACCTTGGTGACATCTCGTCCCCGTCCTGCATTGCCCATTTTATTCCATCAGTGTAAAAAGCAGTTTTTCTACCTTAAAACAAACAAGTACAACGTAACTAGCATCGTCCAGCCTACTTCCTTCTTCATGCAGTGGCCTTTCCCTGCTTGTGTCTCTCCGGCAGGGCCCGAGTGACCGTGCTCTCTCTGGTGCCTCTTCTCGTGCCCCTTGGACTGCGTTCTCCACTGAGTTATTTTTACTGAGGTTAGTGACGCCTTCTGCGTGCTCAGCTCTCGGCCCTCGTCTTGCTGTTCCTGCTGGCAGCACGCGCACAGACAGTCATTCTGCTCCTGCAGCTGCACCTCCCCTGGATGCGGACACATGGCGCTCTGGGGCGTGCATTTTTAACTTCTGGGCTGCTCTTTCTCAGTCTCTGTTTCATGGCCTTTTATTCCATCTACATGCTGACAACTGTCAGGTTGACTTCTCTGGCTCATACTTTGCCCACAGATGCTGCCAGACTTGCAAGTCCAGCTGCCAACTCAGCATCTCCTCTTGTGTGTCTGCTCATCTCTCAAACCTCTAATGTCCCCAGTGCAACTCTCAATTGCCCTTCTGTCCTGGTCTCCTGAATTCTCAGTGCACAGAAACTGCCCTCGAGCTGCTGACACTAGTCTTTGGAGCCATCCTTACTCTCCTGTCCCCCACATGCCACACTCGCTCCTTGAGCAACCGGTGCCACCTCTAGAATACACCCTGAACCCAGGTGCTCTTCACCAACTCGATAGTACCTCCTCGGCCCAGCAATTTTGTGGCACCTAGGTTTCTGTGAGTGTCCTCGGTGCTCTCGGCGCCCACCCCTACCCTCCCCACAGTCGGATCTCAACAAGTCGCCAGGGTCGCGCTTCCAAGTCAGTCAGACCATGTCACCCTCTGCTTTACAGCCTAATGGTTTACTCTGAGGAAAACTGACCACGCAGAATCAAAGCAGAGTCCTCCCAGAGGCCCGTGAGGCCCCACCTCTGCCTCACCCAGCACTCTTGCTCCCCAGATAAGGACGCTCCCCCGAGAGCCTGGCGTGTTGTCCCCAGACGGTCCTATGCTCTTGTTCCCTTGACCTCCTCCAGGTCACTGATCACATGTCACAGGCTCAGGGAAGCCTGGACTACTTACTCTATTAAAAAACACACACTGCACTTCTCCCAGTCCGGCTGCCCCACCTCCTTCCCAGCTTTATCTTCGTACTGTTTGTCACCTTCAAATACAACTTATTTCTTCTTAAAATTTCCTTTCCCCTCTCCAGAACCCTCCACTAGAATGTATGACATTTTAGGGTCGAGACTTTGTTTTGTTATCCTTAGTACCCAGAAGAATCCTGGCACATAGTAGGTGCTCAATACATGTTTGCTGACTGATCCAGAAACAACTTGAGCATCCAGTCAAATGCTATGAATCCCGCCCACGTGATTGCAGGGTAATCACTCTTAATCTCCACACGATGCAGTTCACCGCACACAAGAAAACACTACGGAGGTTTACCAGACTCTGCCAACTAGACTGATAGCAGATATGTGTGATGTGAGCCAAGCATAAGATGTAAATGACACTCCTGTTTCAAAATATTCCAAAAACATAACAAAATACATAAGAAAAATTAAAAATGTCTTGCCAATTCCCCAAAACTATATATTTTGGAAAGATGTACAGAGGTATTAAAACATACGAACGTGACAGACAGGTTTCCCGTCTCGTGCCCCTGGCATGAGATAATGTCAGCAAGACTTTTCAATTATGTTTACGTGAAATGTCAGATCTTAAGAGGTAACAGGCTTTAAATTGCTGATGTTTCAAGGCACTGGAGTTTACTAATTATTCGATATGCTGATACTGAATATTTTATTGATATTAAGTATTTACACTTAACTTTTAGTATCTGTATTTCATATTTACTGACATACACAATGGAAGAGACTATAATGTAAGTGTATACGTGGGCCTATAATCAGGCTGACTCAAATTTAACTGTTCTTATCAGTCTTTCTTTTGTAAATGCATAAGAAACATGTCCCAATTTAAGAAAGACCAATTCATTAAATCCTAACTGACACATAACTCACTATTTAAAAAATTTCAACAGAATGTCAACTGAAGCATAATGAACTTAAAATAATTCAACGTATAAAAATTTGATCCCCAGCCAACTTTTTAAGTTCAAGAGTGATAAGGAAAGAGAAAAAAGAGGGACTTGTGAGGAAGAGAGGGATGATGGAATATATGGAAACACAAACTCTTTTTGCATAGAGTACCTATAAAATTCTTCCTTTCCAGCCTTTCCATCATCGGAGGGTACAAGCCAGCCACCGTCAGCCAACTGGATTCCTTTTCCAGCCCGCAAACTTTCCTTACCAAAATAATCTTGAATGTGAAACTGAAAAGACTCTGCGTTTTTGCTGTTAATTTTTACGCAGTGTTTAGAGACGCCATACATGTACAGCTGCACGAAATAAACAGAAAAATTTGGTAATGAAGGAAAAACAAAAAGAACATGTGTCATAGAAAAACAATTATAATAAACCAAAACTGAATCTACCCCGAATTTTTCATTTAAATACTAAAGTTTTCGCTATAAAAATGTTTAGTTTATCTCCTAGAAGCTCAGCATCTTAATGTGAGCTAAAGGGCCCTCGTGCCCTGCCCCGTCCTCGTGCGTGCCTCCTGCGGTCCCGACACACGGGGATACGAGGTAATGTCCTGTTTCATGACCTTGTCAGCTCAGAAACTTAAAAGAACAGTGAGGAGGGAAAATGTTCGGGAGTCTGGTCTCCAGGGGCCACATTTCCACACAGGCCTGGCCTACTTTCGAGGTGCTCACTGCACCCCAGAGTGCCTGACCCCGAGTCCTTTCCTTCCTTCAGACCCGAGTCGAGTCAGACTCCTTGCTCTGGACTGCTCTTCTCCTGCGAGTGAGTGACCTCGGGCAGGATGTCACCTCTGTGCTTCAGCCCCTCCTCTGCACAACGAGCCTTTCTCCTGGGGTGCTGGGGAGACCGCACGGGTAACACGCAGCTGCAGAGCCAGAACAGTGCCCAGCACGCAGGGAACTCTCAGAAAAGGTCACCCATTAACACTACCAACGCCATCCTCTCCTCCCCACGGCCTAAGATGCCAGTTGGACAGTAATGGCTTAATCAGAATCCTCTTTGAAAACGCAAATGGCTTTCAGCGGGTGCAGGGCCACGAATAAGTCGCTCTGACTCTCCTGTACCAGCCGTGGGAGCGCTCACAGCAAAAGAATGAGCATGGCTTGCGGGGGACGAAATGGTGAATCTGAGGACCAGGCTGCGGGCAGGACCCGCAGCAGAGGCACTGCCACCCTGGGGCGACTGAGACACGTTTCCCTTCACCCGTCCCTCTCTCTTAAATTTGTCTCTTTAAACAGAACAGTTTGGAGATATAGTTAATAAATAAATTTACACTCTGCGATGGAAGCTACCAGCACCACAGACAAAGCTACCTGTTCAGGAGGACATGCCGAGGGTGGGCGGCCTCCCACTGCTGCTCGCAAGGGGACTCGGGGCATGCCGGACGCCCTGGCAAGGGACAGACTGCCTGGCTGGGGACAGACGCACTGCCCGTGCTTCTTTTTAATCCGCATATCCTGCATGTCTCTGGCATTCTGAAGACTTGGAATTAAATCTATTAAGGAATAAACAATTAGTGAAAAATAACATTAACTATAAAAATTTAAAAAGCACAACCCTCATTTTATAAAATCATATATATCATTTGCTTTAATTTTAAATCTTCAAGGATGAAAAAAGTTTCAATTTGTAAAGAACAGAAATAGATCTATTATTTTTATTTCAAATTTAAAAGAAAATTAGTAGCCTGATAAAAAATATATAAGAGCAGTCCTAGCTTTTCTTAAGGCAGAGTCCACAAATAGTTACTTTTTTAAAGAAAACATCAGAATAATTTAAACCTAATCTTTGGACTTAGAAAAATCTAAAACATTAAAGGTTTTAAAACTATTAATCACAAAAGAGTAAAATCCCAAGGCATTATTTAATATGCAAAATATCTAACTGACAGGCAAAAATATTTCAACACAAATTTCCACACAATACCTAAAGGTGGTTCTTCACACTTTGTGGACATTATGGTTGCTGCTTGACTGGCGTTATCTTTGTTAGGCTGACAGATTTCACTGTCATCAATATTATTTTCACTAACACCAGAGTTGTGTTTGCCTATGTGTTTTTGTTTTTGTTTGCATTCCTCCAAAGTAGTACAGCTGCTAACACACTGTTCATCTTCGTGAACATGTGATTTCGTCTTAAAAGGCGGGACAAAGACTTTCATCTGTTTGCCTGTAGTAATCGAGTGTCTTTTTTCATTTCTTGTGGCAGGGACCTTACAAAATGGCTGCCTCGAAACTGATACATTGCTTGAAGATTTCTCCAAAGTCAGGTGTTCATAAAAATGAGATTTAGATAGAAATTCTTGACCAGGAGCTGTAAAGTGTGGAGTGTGAGTCTCTCGCCGTTCCTTACTTGTGCTGAAATAGGGAGAAAACATTTGATTATTTACCAGTAAATGTACGCTCACATAGGTGATATGAACTCTGCATGTTTTGGGGAGACCCTCGATTACTACATGGTGATGCTGCTCAGGTTACTGTTTCGCATTTCATCATGGCTGCCTTCCTAAACAATGACACAGGTTTCATGTTTATCGAGACTTCTGACACACCAGTCCCCAGCTCTGACTTCACCTGCTCCCCTTAACAGAAGAGGCTGTGACAGCCAGATCCTTGTCTGTCTCCTCACCTACCCCCTTCCTCCAGAGACAGCAGTCTAACAGCTTCGCCTGCACCCTGACCCCCGCTAACAGCTCAGTCTTCTGGGGAGCCCCATTCTATCATACTCTACCTCCTTCTTTTCCAATTACCTTCTAAACCATTTTTTTCTTTTTTTAGCACTCTTTTTACTTTAGCCAGAAAGCCTTGCCCACCCTTGAAACCCTGCCCTCTGCCTTATCTCGCCCTCAAGCTGATACTCTATGTTCCTTACCCTGCAGGGCCCCCTCTTGAATGGAGGGAGCCATTTCCGTTCCCTCCACATCCACTCACTGAACGCTCTTCTCCCAATTACCATAGAAATTGTTCTCAATGAAGTTGCTAATTACCTCCCAGATGCAAAAAAAATATATATATATATATTGCTTCATGTGTACATTCGTTCTACTTGACCTGACAACTGTGACAGCTGACTTTTCTCTTCTTAAATTCTCACCACTAATATTGATACCATGAATGTCCCACTATTCCCTTCCTTCCTGCCTTTTTTTGGCTGGATTTTCTTTTTTCTGATACTTAAAAATATTTCTGTCTCCAAAGTTAGATTTCTTTCCTAGACACTTTCCTGGGTCAGGTGAGTCATTTCCATGGCTTAAATCATCAGCACTCAACGATAAAAATATTCACCTGTGTCTTCATGCCCGACTTTCCCCAGGTGCTGTTCCCACACTTGTAACTGCACAGAACACCTGATATCCCATCCCCTACCCATCCCAAACTCAGCACGTTCAAAACAAAATTTATCACCTTCTGTAACATAGTTGTTCTTCCTAATATTTGATGTCTTGTTGAAAACCTCATACTTTTTATCCAGCTCTGAATCCCTGGAACTTATTTAGTTACCCATTCATTTACTTATCAAATACGCAATGAGTTCCTGCCATGTGCCAGGAGCTGCTTTGGCTGGGGGACACAGCAATAAACAAAACAAAATCGTAGAGTTTACTTCTCACACAGGAACACAAATAAATACATGACATGGGAGTAAGTGCTACAGAGACAAACCTTTTGGTAACTGGCATCTGAAAAATGTCTACCTTCACACTTACTTGGTATTTTGGTCAAGGACAGGATTCTGGGTTGGAAATCACTTCCCTAGGAATGTCAAGGCGTGACTCTGCGAGGCACATCATAGAACCTGCAACCTCAGGCTTCCACTGTTCATCACGAGACAGTTTATACCATTAGGACTCTTGAAACTTTCTTTAAAACCTAATTTTCTTTGCCTTGTGGAAAATTTAAGGTTCCTCTTTGCTCCCAGTGTAAAATTTCACAAGGCTGCTCCTTACAGAGGTCATTTCTATTCACTCACTCAGGGCCTTTTAATCGACAAAATATGTCTTTCAAAACTGATAAAATACCTAATATTCTTTCTTTGAAAATTTCTCATTTCTCCTGTTCCTTCTTTCTCAAACTCCAGATTTTCAGACGTCAGACCCACAGGACTTTTCTAGTTCTCTTCAGTCCTTTTCCACCTCTTTCCTTCTGTTCCATAGTCAGGGAGCGTTCCCAGCTTTGACCTTCTATTGCTTGTGCTGCGCCATTTGGGCCATGGTAGCTCTAATTTCTAAGAGCTCTTTTGTATATCAACTTGTTCGTAAGAATGCAGTATGTTCTCTTTCCTGAGAACATTTAAGGTTTTTCTGAAGTTTTCTTCTCCTTGCAAGGTCTAGTCCTTTTAAGTTCCTTTCTCTCTCCTTTTTTGCTTTGGTTTTTGTACTC